ACGCCCAGCTTATTTTTATTATTTTTAAGTGTGTGTATCAAAGAGAGAGAGAGTGGAGGGAGGGAGAGTGGAGGTGCCCATGGAGGCCAGAAGCATCAGACCCCACTGGAGCTGGAGTTGTAGGTGGTTGTGAGCTAACTGACATGGCTGCTAGGAGTTAAACTTCAGTCCTCTGGAAGAGCAGTACATGCTCTTAGTCACTGAGCCATCTCTTCAACCTCCATTCTGATTTTTTAATGTAAGCACTCATAGCTATAAAATTTCCTTTTAAAACTGCCTTTGCTATATAGATAGATAGATAGATAGATAGATAGATAGATAGATAGATAGATGATAGATAGATAGATAGATGATAGATAGGTAGGTAGATAGATAGATAGATAGATAGATAGATAGATGATAGATATAATACATTCAAGAATGTATTGTTAGGGATAGAGAGATGGCACATGGACTGGTCTTTCAGAGGAACTGGGTTTGGTTTCTAGCACCCACACAGTTGGGGTCTCAAAACCATCTGTAACTCCAGTTCCAAGGAATCCAAAGCCCTCTTCTGGCCTCTGCAGTCATCAGACATTCATGTGGTAAAAATACATATATATATACAAGTACTTGTTTAGTTTCTTGGTTTCTCTTGCTATCAACTTCTAGTTTGACTTCAGTATGAGCTGTTAAGATACATGAAATTATTTCAGTTCTCTTGTGTTTGTTAAGAGTTGCTTTGTGGCCTAGATCATGATCTCTTTTAGAGAAGGTTCCATGTGTGTTCCATTTCTGATGGAGGATTTCATTGACATATGTTAAGTTTGTTTGATCTATGATATACTTTAACTCTGAAGTTTCCTTTTTTTTTTAACATTGGAAGATCTATCTAAAGGTGTGAGTAGGGTATCAAAATCATTTTCTATTATTGTATTAGGACCTATCAGACATTCTATGACCATTAATGTTTACTTTATATGAAATTGGAATTCCCAGCAATCAGTGCATAAATATTTACAATTGCATCTTCTTAATGAATTACTCCCTTTTTAATATATAGTGGCTTCTTTTACCACTTCTGACTGTTTTGGTTTGGAGTGTATGTTATCAGATAACAGGACAAATATACGAATTTGCTTTTGGCATCTGTTTGCTTGATACATTGACTTCCATCCTTTAACTCTGAGTCTGAGGGACCTTTGCAACTGAGGTGTGTTACTTAGAAACAACAGACAGCTGAATCTTATTTTTCAATCTAGTCAGTTAGTCTTCATCTCTTAATTGGAGAGTTGGGATAATTTACATTTAAGGTTATTGGTGATAGATGTTGGCTACTTCCTGTAATTTTCTTAGTTGGTGTTTCTAATTGACAGAAATATTGCTCGTTCTCTTCCCCTATTAATATATGAGACTTGTTGATTCACTGTTCCGGACATGAGAGGTCTTTCCTAGCTCTCATTTGTTCATCTGTTCTTCTCATGAATTTTTTCTTTGCTGTGTTCTAATCTTTGAGATTGTCCTTTCTTCCACTTAGCATTCCTTTAAATATCTTCTACAGTGTTGACTTGCTGGTCATGAATTGCCTTGGTTTGTGCTTGTCTTCAAAATCCTTATATTTTCATTAATTTTAAAAAGCTATTTAAAATTGCTGGATGTAGCAATCGGGTTTAAGTTGTTTACTTTCAGGCTTTAAACATAGCATTCCATGATTCCTTGTGTTTATGGTTGCTGCTGAGAGATCTAATGCTATTCCAGTGTGTTTACCTTTCTAGATGAATAGCGTTTTACTCTTAGTTTTTAGTATTGTTTCTTTGTTTTGTACTTTGATATCTTGGCTGTAATATGCCATGGAGAACTTCTCTTGACATGTCTGTTTTGGGGTCTAGGTGTCGCTTGTTCTTGGATAACCATTTCTTTTCCTAAATTGGGAAATTTTTTTCCATAATTTCATAAATTTTCTATGCCTTTAGTTTCCATTTCAGTTCATTCTTCTACCCTGTGGATCATATCCCACAGTTATTGGAAATTATGATCATGATCACTTGTTTATATTTATTTCCTCTTTGGATTTGTGTGTGTGTTGCCTACATGTATGTAAGTGCACCTATGTTGTACAATGTCCATGGAGGCCAGAAGATGGCATCAGATGGCATTATGGACATTTGTTAGCCACTCTGTGGGTGCTATCCAGCCCCATATTTTTCTTTCTTGATATCTGAAAGTAATATCACCTTGATGTTGTCTTTCATCCCTGATACTCTTTCTTCTGTTTTATCCTATCCTTTCAGCCCTGCTTTTATTTGTATTTAGTTCTTTTTTTCACAGCTCAATTTCGTTCTTGAATATTTCCCTTATTTTTTATGACCTCCTCATCTACTTTGCTAACTTTCTTATCTGTGTCTTAAATTGATTTCCGTACTTCATGTGCTTGTTTCAGTCCTTTATATCATCATTTTTCTAAGTAGGAATCTGAAAAATTTTTGTATTTTATCACACACACACAAAAAATTTGTGCTTGCTGTGAATGCAGCTTGGTGGTAGAGCACTTACCTTGCACACTCAAGGTCCTGGATTTGGTCTCCAATACCTTTGTCCCTGGGGTGTTGATATAATAATCATCACAATATCATAATACTTGTGAGACTGAAATGTACCTCCGTGGTAGTGTGTTTGCTAGCCTACCAAAGGTCCTGCGTTTGATCCACATTAGAAAAAGAGATCAGTTTTATTGCTTTGAGGAATGTCAACCTCATCATCCTATTCTAAAGCTATTCCTATCATAACATAGAGGCCAAAACATGAATAACATCTGGGAAAGCCTTATAGTCAATCCTTGAAACAGCATTTTAAAGCAAATAATATAATCTCCTTTCTTTCTTTTGCTACTGTTATAATACCTGGCACCATTTTTTTTCATTTTATTGAATTTTTGCAATTTTCATACAATATAGTTTGATGGCATTTAGATCCACTCCCCTCTCCCCACCTCCTCCCACTGCCCCATGCTCAAGTTAATGAATATATATATAGACCTTGGCTTTGCTTTGTGGCCCATCACTCGACTCTCTGCTTTTACCCTCACACAGCGTTCTCATCTGTGAGTGCCCATGTCTTTACATGACGCCTTCTTGCTCTTCTGAGAATACCAGCCATACTGGATTACTACCACCTCACTGACCATTGTTTTTAATTGACTTTTTGTGATTTTCATACAATGTAGTTTGATGGCATTTAGACCTGCTCCCCTCTCCCCATCTTCCCCTCTGTCCATGTCCAATTTAATGAATTTATATATATGTATGTATTATATATATAATACAGCCTATAGAGTGTGATTTGTGTCCCCCAGTGTCCTTCAGTGTAGATCCAGTCACTGAGCCCACCAATCATTTGGAAAGAAAACATTCTAGTAACATCAGTAAAAACAGTTTTAATAAAACATGGTCACTACTACATATCATAGAGCAAGTACAAGATTTTTACATTCATAGAGGTATGATACAGTATCATTCTACATTTATAATACTAGAGGATACAACTTTCAGAAAGAATTGAGATTAATATAATCCCATTTTCAATTGGTGGAAGAAAGTGAGCCCTAAATGGCTAAGTTGTTCAAGACACAAGTTGTTTAGGTGCAGGGGGTTCAAAACTTATCTTCTGACTCTACAGCCACTGATCTCCCAAGGAAATGAAACAATAGTCTACATAGTTGGAACTTTACATTTGAAATGTGAGAAGTAGCATGCTTTTTAAACTGAATGAAGAAAAAATAAAGGAAAAAAAGTCAACACATCATTAACTTCTCAGTGACTTAAGAGTAATGATTCTACTAAATTTATACTCTGAATCTTATTAACATATTTGGCTTGGAATTAAATTCTAGTTGACTCTGTATTTTTGGACTTTCGCTTCTAAAAATACCCTTTAATTTGAGGTTTGGGGTCACTTACTTAAATTATTTTACTTTTAGTGTAAATTTTTAATATAAATCTCAATATCTGTCTAATCCCAAGAAAAAAGTAACAGGTTGTTCTCTCATTATTATGTAAGAATCATTTCAGTTTGAATCTTAAATTTTTTCTTTGTTGCTCTCCTAGGAGGAGGCAGCTAATCTAAATGAGAGAAACTTGGCATGCACTATCTAGTCATCCAGTAGTAACCAGAGCAAATGAGTGGGTCAGTGCGTCCTCTTGATTCTCAGCATGGCATCTAGCATTCATGATCCATGGAAGGCTGTCATTGGTGACAAGCAGAGCTCCAGTTCTCATGTTTCATCATACTGCTGACATAGCTTTCTCTGTATCTAGAAAGATTTGATGCCACATAAAGGTGGGATGGCACTGCCAGTCCTCTACTGTGAATAAGCCTCCTGAATTTATTACGTGATACATGAATAATGCCTGCTATCTTTGTTATTTTACTATTATTGTGATAAAATACCTTAACAAAGCAACTTAAGAAAGGAAGATTTTATTTGGTTCCCAGTGCCAGCATCATGGGGAAGTCCTGGTGGCAAGAGCGTTAGGTAGCTGATCACATTGTATCAGCAGTCAGGAAACAGGAAACAATGAGCCATCTTTCCAGCCCCCAGGACTTTTATAATTGTAGTAAACTATTTTGCAAATCTGCCTAAAATCAATATTCATTGAATATGTACTTTGTTCTTAGAATTTAAGAATATTGGATATGTATAAAATGGACTAAGGTGTTATAATTTAGTAATGAGAGAAAAGGAAAATGCTAGCTAATATTGGGATTTCTCCTCACCCTTCCTTCTGGTTCTTTAGCAAGGCCTGAAGACTTGTTCTCTAACGCACATCTTGAATCCATCTTCCTCTTTAAGAAGACTAAAGCTGGTTTTGATTTTGAGAAATATATGCTGCAGAGATTATAATCTATTTTTTCCATGCATTTCCTGATTACTCTGATCAGTTTTTAACTCTAGATTGGAACTCTGGACTATGCTTCTGGGTTCCCTGCTTTAAATGCATCTTCCTGCTCCTCTTGTACTACAGAGTCATCAGAAATCGGGCCTTCCCTGGTGATTCACACCACTGTCCCATTTGGAGTTACATACTTGGAGCACAGCGAGGAGGATGTGCAGGAATTAATCTTCCAGCAGCTGGAAAGCATTCTGCCGGGTTTGCCTCAGCCAGTTGCTACCAGATGCCAGAAGTGGAGATACTCACAGGTAATCAGAAACTTAGTGGTGGGAGCACAGCAGCTTTCTGAGGAGGCCTGCAGAAATGACTGCACTTTTTATTCTCCTCTATTCTCTAGCAGAAGAAATGAATGATGGGATCTTAGAAGTGAATATGAGTTCGCCTGGCACACATGTAACTTCACAAGTGTCATTGTCTCACTATTTCTCAGTGAGATATTCACATAATGTCTACCAGTTATGTCCAAATTCTATCTAGCATTTAAAGTCACACCCTAAAACTCTGGGGTTTCCTATGCAAGCAAGACAAGTTATGTATCAAAATGCAGCTGTTTCTCTGGGGATTTTTCCAAATCAATACTGTGGTTATACAGTAACCACCATAACCTCTCGGATTTTTGCAGTATGACAAATTAATATTGTAAGTGTATTTTGCTACCACAATTTTCTTTTTTAATAAGTTTCCATTTTGGCTTTGACAGCTGATAGCAAAGCTCTTCTGTGAGTAACTGCATAGAACAGCTACTTGGGCTGTTTTCCAGGGCAAAATAAACCTTGTGCTCACTCTACTAGGTCAACCTTAAAGCTCCTTAAACTAAGTAAATCTTGACTTAAAAAAACAACTCCTACTAAAATTGAAGCAGTGTTCATGAAAAATATCTTTTGATCTGTAAACTCAGTTATGAAGTCATTTGGGGGTCAATGAAGCAAAGGTCAGATGAAACAGGATGAAAAGATGCAGAGACTAAGATTTCTGAGCCCGTTGATTCATGGGCACTATTGGTTATTCAAGCCGTAAAGCTTTTAGAAAAAGTGGTATTGTTGGAAATGACAGCAGATTTTGTATGTTTTAAAGGGCTTTCCAAATCAGAGGAAATAGTAAATTACTTCCTAAAATATTGCAGTAGGTCTGTGTTTACCCATATCTTCTCAAGTTAAATTATACAGTGAACCTTTGGGGAAAATATTTACTTAAACATGTCATAGTCACTTTAGAAGACTTTGCTTTTTCCTTTTAAAAGCCTTGAAAAATCACAATGGCTAATGTCTTTAAATGATATTTAACTCAATTTAAGTTGGCTTGAAAAAGAAGCCAGGGAAATAATCTTGTTCTAATTTGAAGTTGGTACATTGTACCCTAAGTCACTTGGCAAATTGTAAATACTCCTTTAAGAGAGCAGTGGGTTTGTGTGTTTTCTTTTTATGCTTTTCTCATAGATAATTTACTAATACACTAAAAAATGGTTTTTAAATCTACTTATTTCTTAAAATTTGATGTATTATAAAAATAGTCTTGTCCTAACCATAAAATGACCTATTCAAAGTTGTGCAATATTACAAAATTTAATAAAAATATTGTTTTGAACACAATGTACATCCAAACCCTAGCAATGATTTTTATTGCAATTTGGATGTTGAAATTTACTCCACTACATTTATTACTCTGTAAATATGAAATCTACACCGCAAAGCCTGAAAGGGGACAAATTACCATTCGGACTTAAAAGCCTGCGTTTTCCACTATTCAAACACTTCTTTAGGATATTCAACATCATTCTACAAAGCACAACACTGTCACTTATGGTAGCTCTTACCTACGCACAGTATATACATGTGTATCCTATCACCCTGGGAAAAGGAATAGCCAATGAGAGGTCAAGAGATTTTTAAGATAGTGTACTTGCTTTCGACTCCTCTCCTTATGAGAGCACTTCTCAAAGTTTTGCAAAGCTCCACCTTAGACCTTGGAACTTGACAGAACTGTGCATGCCTTCATCCTTACCATCACAATACATGTGGTCTTGGTTCCATTAATCCGTGTATATTTGCATGAAAATTGGATCTAATATAGCAATAAACTTATGAATAATGTAAACCAGAGATTTAATTAAAAAGGAACAACCTGTTGAAGTTGAAGTTTCCCCCTGTTCTGAGTAGAGCCGCAGTGCCCTCGAAGAGGAAATCCCACCCACGTAGTCTAGCCTTGGCCCCACCCTGTGCTCCTTTTCTTTTCCTCATTTCCCCGTTCTGTTCCTTCTTGTCTCTCTACGCCACCTCATTCCTGTTTTTCTTTTTCTCTGAAAAGCAAATGACAGAACCTTATGCACCGTCATGTTATGAAAGTCTCCGTAGAATACAGAGTTAAGAGTCTCCACCCCCACACAATGGAATGATACCGTTTCCCTATCCTAGGCCCAGAAGGATCAACACTTGCTCTCCATTAACTTTTTTCTCCTTTTGGTCTTCTTTTGTGGCACTTGCACTAGCACCGAGTGCTAGAGAGGGGTGGAGGGGAAAGGCAGTATTAATGATGAGCACCTGTGTTCCAGGCCTTGAGAGGGCAACTGAAAGATGTGATCTCATTTAATGGAGGCTATAAAAGTAGGCTTATGACTGACAATGAAATGCTGTTGTCCAACCAGAATGGCCAAAATCCAGAACCCTGATAACATCAAATGTTAGTGTGGTACAGGCCAACAGCGACTCTCACTCATTACTGGTGAGGATACGAACTAGTACAGACACAGACATGCAGTTCAACTGTTTCTCAGAAAACTTGATAGAGTTAGGAAGGAGGGAAGAATGGCTAGATGAGCAAAGGTTTTAGGACATTGAAAATACTCTGATTTTATAATATAAATAGGTGACATCATACATTTGTCCCAATCCATAGACTACATAATACCAAAAATGAACCCTAATGTAAACCCTAATGTAATGTAATGGACTTGGGGTTTTTTAGTTTTGTTTCTTATTGCTGTGACAAAATACCAAGACACCAAGATAAAATCAACTTACAGAAAGAAGATGGGTTCCATTTTATCACTGTTTGAGGGAATGCAGTCCATCATTGCACAGAGGCGTGACTGCAGGAGTGTGAGGCAACTACTCAAATTATTTCTGTAGTCAGGAAGCAGAGAGATGAATACTGGTTCTCAGTGTAGTTTCAGTTCCCCCTTATAGTCAGTCCAGGATCTCAGCCCATGGGATGGTTCTAAGAACATTTAGGGTGGTCTTCCCTACTCAGTTAAACCTCTCTGGTAACACGTCACAGAAGCACTCAAAAGTACATCTAAGGAATTAACTCCAGACAGTGATGATAACCGTCACCAGGTGGTATGATGCGTCCATTTTGATTCATCAGTTACAACAAGTGTACCACTCTCTTAACACTGTTTTTACTGGTCCATCTCCTTTTCTATAATGAAGTATTTGAAGTTAGGTAACTTATAAAGAAGAGAGACACATTAGTTCACAGTTCTGAAAGCTAGAAGTCCAAACCACATGGTCCTGGCACCAGTGAGGACCCCATTAGCTAAATCACTTCATGATGCATCACAAAAACAAGAGCAGATGTGAGTGTGAGGGGGATCACATGATGCTACACAAAGCCAGAGTCAGAGTTAGAGGAGCTCTGTTATAAAAACTCGCTCTGAGAAGAAGCGTGTTGGAGTGTGCTAACTACCTTAATCCCTTCCAAGACCAGTACCCCAGCAATCCAGCCAACTCCCACTGATCTCTATTCAAAGTCCCACTGCAACACGTGAACCTTTGGAAGACATTATACAAACTATATCCACACTATCACACTGATCTTAAAAAGTATTTTACACACACACACATATGTATGCAATTTTCTTAAATATCTACTGTCAAACCCAAAATAAATCATATAAATACATTGTTCTTTTAAAAAATCTTGAGTTTGCTAGTGTTAATTCACTATAGCAATGAAAAAGCAAAGCCTCAGAGAGAACAAATAACTTCCTTAAGCTCCAGTGGCTAATAATGGCAAAGCCTGTCTACCTGCCTCACTGCCTTTCCCTCTTCATCACTCACTGTGTTTCTAGTCTTACTTTAAGAAATTACCAGAAACTATGTGTGTAAAAACAATACAAAGGCATTAGCTTACAGTCCTGGAAGTCAGAGATGCCCTCACTGGAATCACATCAATGTTCCAGAGTCTTCAGGAGCTCATCCATCTCTGTCTCATAGAAGCTGTGGGTGTCCTTTGGCTTGGGCCCCTTCCTCCATCATCAGAGCCAGAAGCAACAGTTCAAGACCTCACATTGCAGCACTATGACCTTTTCATCATCCTTCCTCTTCCTTTAAAGGTGCTGTTGACATTGGCCCTACCTGGATAATCCTGCATAATCTTGCCATGGCAGGCTCCAGGTTCAGCTCATGAATATCCATCTGCAGCCTTAAGTCTTCCTTTCTAGGTAAAAGAATATTCACAGGTTCCAGAGGTGAAGATATGAACATCTTTGAAAAGGGCTTTGTTTCTGTCAGTTGCACCCTCCTTTCTTTTGACTCCCTTAGCAGATCTCTTTATGAAGTGGCATCTCCTTCCCATATAACATTTTTTGGGGAAAGCACCTCCAAGGGTCCAGCCACTGTCTTAAAATATAGGTGAAATTTGTGTATGGGGGACAGTCTCTCATTTCCTTGCCGTTGCTCCCCACGCCCTGTGCTATCTCCAGCATACCACAGTGGAAGGAGGATGGTAAGTGTTCATCCATTTATCCCACAGTGAATGCCTACAACATGGCTAGTGTTCTGTTCATGAAACCATGGGGACTAATATTTGCTAAAGGTTTCTAAGGCTCTAAATTGAATTTTCTCTTAAACAACATAGTTGTACATCTTTGTGGGTGCTGCAAATGAAGAAAAAAATGTGTTTGAACAACTTGGGAACTGCTTCTGTGCCTCTCATTTGGAGTTTGGATAAAATTCCTCAGCTGATGATTTTGGGCTTAAAACAAACTTAGCAGAGCAGTGGCAGATTTTTTTAACAGTTCTCAGTTCTTCCATTTTACATAGCCCCTCCCCCATAATTTAAATGTTTATCCAATTAATATAATTTGGTGTTTAGTCCATGAAACATTGCATTAAGGATACTGTAACAAGTTGACTATTTTAATACTTTCAGCAGAAAAGCCATCACTGAAAAAGCCTTTCCAGGCACTGCACTATGGGACACAGCACGGTGGTGACCACACCACTCCTGCCCTCATTTGCTGTGCTTT